AAAAGAAACTCCAGCCTGGTGTGGACTTGAAAGAAGGAAAAGACACCCCCTGAGCCTGAGTAAATAATGATTGGGAAGAAGGAAAACTGGACAGAAGGCCTAAGAAGCGTTGTATTGCTTGGAGAGAGCTCTAGGAAGCCAAGTGGTGACCTCTTCAAATGCCACGCTAGACTGTATTTATTTATTCACTCTGCCCCTAGCGCAAGACCTGGGCAGTAGATAAATCTACGTGCAAAGGAAAGCCCTGCCAAGCATAGGGTATTTACTTAGTAGCTCCCATCACCAGGCAGGTGCAAAGTGCTCTTCACAGCCAGTAACTCACACGTTCACAGAAAACCTCCGACATAAATGCTGCTGCTCGGCCCACTGGCAGATGAGGACCCTGGCAGGATCAGTTATTTCGTACTAGCTCTCAACTCCAATCCTACTCTGCTCTCTCTTCAGTCTGCAGAAGGCTAGAACTCCCACAAACTACATTCCCCAGACTTCCCTGCCTGTGGTTTCTGGTCTGGTTCAACCAGGAGGAAGCACTGGAAGAAGAGAGAAGCCAACCTTTTCTGCCTCACCAGCTGTCACCTCAGTGTCACACATCAGCTTCAGGACTGACGGCAATAACTGTAAGCTTAAGTGGTGCCAGCGGTAGCTCAGCAATCTCTCAGGAGAGAGCTGGAAAGGAGGAAAAGAACCGAACAACAGCCAAGTGACAGAATGCAAGGAGAAGAGGACTTCAAGAGAGGGCCACTTGTGCAAGAAGACAAGTAAGCTACTAAGACGAAGACAGAGCGACAGCTTGGCCAGCTCTCTGGCAGAGCAGCAGGAGGAGCGACCATTACCGATCTTATTGCCGAAGAAGGCGAGCCCCAGGGAGACGTTGTTGTAGCCCTGGGTGTGCAGGCCTTGGATGTTCCAGCCCACACCTTCATACACCCGGCCGTCGTCCCCCACCAGGAAGCTGCAGGCAAAGGCACACATTGTCACGGAAAGCCTCTCACCCCTCCTTCTACAGGAAAGCAGTGCTGTGTCCCCAGGGACAGCGGTGGGCGGCAGGGGTACACCCATGTGAGACTTCCAAGCGATGCAGAAATAGACTTTGAAGTTTGTTGTGAATGAGTTTATATGTGTTTCCCAGAACCTCATTTTAAAAATACTCTTGGTTCAAAGTAGAATTTGAACATGCAACTCAAGAGCCCAAGACATACATCGTGTCTTTAGATGACAGAACCAAGCGCCTGAACATTCTTCAACGACTCCGCCATCCCGCCCTCTCCCCCCCACCACCCCCGG